ATGAATTTATTTCAACTAACTTAAAAAGTTATTGGCCTACTTTTTTTTCATAGCATCCTTTTATTATTTGTTCACTTTCCGAACATCCTGTAGTATGTCCTCTTTCTCATTTCTGATATTGACTATTTGTGCCTACTCTTTCTCCTTGCTCCGTCATGTCAGAGGATTATCAATTTTATTAGACATTTCACAGAAACAACTTTTGGCTTTATAACTGTTTTACTCTGGTTTTCTTTCCATATCATTAATGTCTGCTCCTGTCTTTACTATGTCCACTCTTTTACTTCTTTAGATTCCATAGGCTGTTATTTTCCTGAACTTCTTGAGATGGATTATGAAATCATTAGTTTTCATCTTTTCTCCCTAAAGCATATACATTTAAGTCTATAAATTTCTCTCAAAGCATTCCTTATGTTTAATTTCATAATTTTGATATGAAATGTCTTCCTTCATTCAGTTAAATTACTTTGTAAGTTTCATAATTATATATATTCTTTGACTTGTGGATTATTTAGAAGTATAACATCTAAGCATGAGGGAATTTTCCAGTAATCTTTTAAATTTATTTTTATAGCTTAATTCTTCTGTGGTCCATATTATTTCAATTTTCAAAATTTGAAAAACTTGGTTTGTGAATCAGAATATAACAAAGTTTTAGAGAATGTAATGTGTAGTCTTCTGTTGTTGGATACAGTGTTCAACATATGTCAGTTAGGTCATGGTTAGTCATTGTGTTATTCAAAATAACACAGGTTCCTCTCTGATTTTTCGTCTGCTTATTCTATCATGAGATATGTGCAAAAACTACCCCTGTGACTGTACATTGTGCCTTATATATTTTGAGGACAGGTTGTTAGGTATGTTCACGTTTAGAATCATCACATCTTCCGAGTGCATGACTCTTCTGTTATAAAACGTTTCTTTTAGCACTTTGAGGATATCTCCGCATTGTCTTCTGACTTCAGTTTGCTCTGTTGAGAAGTCAGCTGTCAGTCTTTTTGTTGTTCCTTAGAAGGTCATTTGTCCTTTATCTTCATCTGCTTTTAAGTGTGTTGCCTTTGTTTTGAGTTTTCATCAATTGGGCTATGCTGTAACTAGTGACTTTCTTCAGCTTGAAGTCCAGGTGTCTCAGGAATCTGTGGCTTGATATCCACCATCAGTTTTGACAGATTCTTATTTATTATTTCTTCAGATTAACTTTTATCCCAAGCTATTTGTTCTGTATTTCTGGGACTATAATTTTACATTTTTCTGTATCCAATGTGTCTAATTTCCACTTTCTTCTTATCTGTCATTATACTGATCCTCTGCTCAGGTGTATCTAATTCAGGGATCAGCAGGTTATGGACAGCTGGCCATCGCTGTTTTTTTTAAATAAAGTTTTATCAGAACAGCCACCCCTATCTGTTTACATATTGTCAAGGGCTACTTTTGCACCATACTAGCTGAGTGGAATAGTTGCAGCAGAGGCCGTGTACCCTGAAAACCTAATACATTTAATCTCTAGCTCTTTATAAAATACTTGCCAAAGTCTATTTTAATCCACTTTTAAGTTCATCCATTGAGATGCTGATTTAAATATTGCATCTTTTATTCCTAGATTTCCATTTTGGTTATAGCTTCTTTGTTTCCAGTGAAATTCTCCGTCTTATAATTTGACTTCTTGAACATTTTAATCTTATTCCAAGTTCTCTGAAACACAGAGCCCAAGGCAAAGTGTTCCAATACTTATGTTGCCATCATAGGACTAGCATAAGGTGCTGCTAGGCCCCTTCTGCAGGGAAACAAGACTGAAGCCAGGGTCAGGATTGCAGGAGGTAGTAACTGTGTCCTTAAGTTTTTATATTTTCATCAGTTAATACTAACATCTGGATTTCCTGTCATTATGCTTATAATGTCTTTTTTTTTTTTTACTTTTTTGGGTTGTCATTAAATTTTGTTTTTTGTATTCTTAGTTACTTTTAAAGTTTGTGCTGTATATTATAGAAGAAAGGTTGTGGATATAATTTGAGATTGTAGCAGATTTATTAATACTCTGTTAAAATTCCCTTTAAAAATTATTATCAGATTATTTTTGCTTATAGATCTTTAGTCTAACACTCTTCCAACTGGATTATTTTGGCTGTCCTGACTAGAAGAAAGCTAGGTTAGCAGCCTGTCATGTTTATCCAAAAAGGAATTGAGGTAACTTGAACCTGGCCTTTATTCCCTTTGAAGGCTGTCCTGTTTCCAGTTTACTTTATGCATATGATAGAGCCTTCTGGGGTCCTGGGGTGGGAACCTGGGATATTTACCAACACCTGGCACCTTGGAAGTCTTTGAGTCGTAGTGCTTGCTTTCCACTTCATGAGGCTGATGACAGGTCTGTCCAGTTTCTCAGCTGCTCAGCCACCACTTGCAAACTAGAAAATGCCTTGAGCAGAAAGGTAGAGCCAAATGTCCCACCAAATTTGCTCACATTTCTGAGTTTCTTTTGTGTCTGTGATCTTAGCCCTGCAAATCCTCACTAGCATGGTAGTTTTCTGATGCGTTAAAATACGTTAAAAATATTTTATGGGTCAGGTGCAGTGGCTCACCCCTGTAATCCCAGCACTTTGGGATGCCAAGACAGGTGGATTACCTGAGATCAGGAGTTTGAGATCAGCCTAACCAATGTGGTGAAACCCCATCTCTACTAAAAATACAAAAATTAGCCAGATGTGGTGGTGGGTGCTTGTAATCCCAGCTACTGAGGAGGCTGAGGCAGAAGAATCCCTTGAACCATGGAGGCAGAGGTCGCAGTGAGCTGAGATCGCACCAGTGCTCTCTAGCCTGGGTGACAGAGCAAGACTCTATCTCAAAAAAAAAAAAAAAAAAAAAAAAGAGAGAATTTTATGCAACATTTTTATTTATTCTCACTGGGAGGATTCATCAGAAACTAACAGTCCTGCCACAGCCTGAAACAAAGCTCCTTAGCAGTGTATCCCGTCTCTGTAATACCTGTGCTGTCCCCACTCCATTACCATAACCCTGCCCCTCCCTCCATACACATCTCGCATCTGGAATTTTTATACCATTTTATAGTTAAATACATAAAACCACTATTTTACATTCAATCCTTGTTTAGATTCTCTCATAAGCTTGATAACTGATTTATTTCGCCATTTTTGCTTCTTGCATCTACTGCTGTATTTATATTAGTTCTTAGTTGGTACATTCCTTAGTAGTTTTTTTCTCTTTTTCCAGTGAATATCTCTGAGTGGTAAAGTTTCAGAATCATTTTGTGTCTGAAAATATCTTTATTTCATTGCTTAATGATTGATCACTTGATTATAGATGGATAACTGATAACTGATTAATAACTTAGTTATAGAATTCTAGATCCAATATTCTTGCCTCTCGATCACTTTGAGGATTTGACTTTGTATTCTTGAAGCCAATATTACTTGTGAGAATGTAATGTTAATCTGATTTTCCACATTTTTGTAGGTAATCATATTTTTCTTTATAATAACTTTTAGGATTTTTCTTTATGCTTTTTGTTTTATTTTTTAAATTGTCTGGCCAGAACTGAATGAGCATTTTGAAACAGAGACTTTTTCTTAAAGTCTAGGAAATTTTGAGCAATTATATCATTAAATGTTGCCTCTTCATTCTTTTTATCTATTATCTCTATTTTTAAAGACATACTGTGGCAGATTTATTGATATCTTTATTAAAATTCCCTTTTAAAAAATTAAACTTTTTTTTAAACTGTTTCTTCCACTAAATATAGCATTTCTCATATGAAATATATTTTACAATACCACATTTATTTTATTTTATATTGTGAAATGCTGTCTCGCTCTGTTACCCGGGCTGGAGTGCAGTTGCATGATCTCAGCCCGCTGCAACCTCCACCTCCTGAGTTCAAGCAGTTCTCCTGCCTCAGCTCCCCAAGTAGCTAGGATTACAGGCATGTGCCACCACATCCAGCTAATTTTTGTAATTTTAATGGAGCCAGCGTTTCACCATGTTGGCCATGCGGGTCTCAAACTCCTGATCTCAAGTGATCTGCCCACTTTAGCCTCCCAAGGTGCTGGGGTTATAGGCATGAGCCACCATGCCCAACCCACCATATTTATTTTTATTGTTAAAATTTTTTATCCTAATTTTACTTCTTGTTGTTTTTTTTTTTCCAATTGCATGTTTTAGAGATTTTTCTTTTTCTTTTTCATGGTTTTTTTTTTTTTTTTTTTTTTTTTTTGAGACAGTCTTGCTTTGTTGCCCAGACTGGAGTGCAGTGGCATGATCATGGCTTACTATAGCCTCGAACTCCTGAGCTTGAGGTATCCTGCTGCCTCAGCATCCCCAATAGCTGTAGCTAGGACTACAGGTGCATTCTTTTGGGGAGATAGGATCTTGCTATGTTGACCAGACTGATTTCAAACTTCTGGCCTCAAGTGGAAGTGCTGGGATTACAGGTTTGAGCCACCATGCCTGGTCCCCATTTCTTTTTAATTAGATACTAGATTATTCATAAATAAACATCAGGTATTTGCATACTCAAGTTGAGTTCTTGCAGTTGTGCTTCTAGAAGACTTTTTCGGAAGGATATGGTTAAAGGTATTATTATTAAAAAGTAGGACTCTCCACTGTGTGCTATATTGTGAGCAAACCCAAATCAACTCTCAATCTTTGTTGTCATGAAAATTAAAATCAAAGGTTTCATAAAGAAAAACAATGTAAAACAAAGAAACAAAAATGTCCACCTATATTTTTTGTGAATCCATTCAGAGGCATAGAATTATCTGGAAAAATGACTCCAGGGAGATTTGCAGAAGATCACCTGTGCCCCCATTTATGACAAATCTGAATGATACATTTTCACATCTTAAACTTATTGGAATCTTCTTGCACCACAGTTTTTCTAATGGATAGGTGGTTGTCTACATATTGAAGAATATTCATCTCGTTGTGAAAGGCGTAGAAAGCACTAGCTCCTTGTTTGCGTGTGTGTTCTCACAGTTCTCTTTGTCCAGACCAGGTACACTGCGGCCAAAGACACCATGGTTCAGTTCTTCTTTTACCAGCCCATCAGTCATCAGTGGAGACAGACTGACTTCTTTCCCTGCACTGTGACGTGTGGAGGAGGTGAGGCCCAGGCTTTGTTCATAAATATTTAGAGCTCAGAGTTAGCGAAATTTACACATTTGCATTTTCGTAGCTGATTTTAAAATTGGTGTGGTCATTAGAGTCTGATCACACAGCACCTTACTCAGCAGCCTGAATTCATTGGTGTTAATGATACATTTGCTTTTATTCTTGAAGACAGGTGCAAAACTGGATTTAGAAAACACCTTTTACTTTTGGCCATAAAAAAACTGTAAACAAACATGTTTGCGTGTGTTACTGCATTTCTTGTCTTGATTGCCCTTAAAGCATGTGTTATTTTTAATTTTCTTTGAAAAATCTGAGCAGCAGAGAGATGGAGTGACTTGCCCAGCCTGATTGAGTTGGTGGGTGTGTTGGTTCTAACATTAGATTTACACCTTTCCTCTCCTTAAGTGCAAGAGTAGAAGCTTATTAAAAAGAGAAAGAGCCTCTACTAAGTGTGAAGGGGAAAGTCCTGCTTATTGTCTGCTTAATTCAAGGTTTTCTTTTCTTTTCTTTTCTTTTTTTTTTTTTGAGACAGTCTCGCAGGCTGGAGTGCAGTGTTGCACTCGGCTCACTGCAGCTCTGCCTCCTGGGTTCAAATAATTATTGTGCCTCAGCCTCCCGAGTAGCTGCGATTACAGGTGCCCGCCACCATGCCCAGCTAATTTTTGTATTTTTAGTAGAGACCACGTTGGCCAGGCTGGTCTCGAACTCCCAACCTCAGGTGATCCACCTGCCTCGGCCTCCCAAAGTGCTGGGATTACAGGCGAGAGCCACGGCGCCCGGCCTAGTTCAAGGTTTCTATAGTCAGTTGAGGAAGGTTTGGGGATAAGTGTAATGTAGGGCTTTACACACATGCTATAAAAGAAGCATCTTTCATGCTTAGGTGGAAGATAATAGTCTGTTTAATGTGGAGAACTGGCAATTCCCTGGAGCAAATGAGGAGGCAACCAGAGCTACTGTCAAAATAATTCTCTTTTTCTGAACTGACCTTTTAAATTGAAGAATAAATGCATGTAACCCAGGAACCATGGCTTACTAGAGGGGGGTTTATGTTGATGCTTCCTATTAGAGTACCAGGCAGTGGTTCTAGGTTGTTACCATGTGTCAAGCCATGTGTTAGATGCTCATCATCACATTTATTCTTCAGGAAAACCCTACGGAAGTTCCCTTTTATTCCTGTCTTATGCAAGAACAAACTGACACTTACAAAGTGTAAAGAGCAGCTGGACGTAGTGGTGCACACCTGTAATCCCAGCTACTCGGGAGGCTGAGGCAGGAGAATTGAATCCGGGAGGTGGAGGTTGCAGTGAGCCAAGATCGCTCCACTGCACTCCAGCCTGGTGACAAAGCAAGACTCCGTCTCAAAAAAAAAAAAAAAAAAAAAAAAAAAGAAAGTGTGAAGAGCGTAACCGAGTGTGTTGTTCAGCTAGTAAACAGTGCAGCTAGGATCTGCTGCCAGGTCTGCCTGGTACCAAAGTCATGCTCTAAATGACTTTGCCTTTGTGCCTCCCCTAAACCATCCGACGCCTGGGACCAGGTCAGGGTATACAGGCTCAGGTATGGTCTTCTTTGAAGAGCTAGAATAAATCCTCCTTCAGCCCAGCCTAGCTCCACATCTTTTCATTCTTTGAAACCTACAGAATAGCAGCTTACTTAGAGTCAGAATCTGGCCTTTCTCCTTTAAACTACAGATACGTAAAGGAGGGTTCTTCAGTCACTGCCAGGTTGCTGTGAACGTGCGTGCAGATCTCTCTCTCCTGAAATTTAGGCTCCCCCTGAAACCAGAGAGCAGGCACTTTTATGGGAAGCACTGGGCAACCCAGGCCCAAGAGGAAGTTTCTGTGCCTGGGAATGGAAGAGCAGACTGAATAGTGCCATAGAAAGAAAGTAAAAAGTGAATCTCCCCAGTGTGCCCGTGAGTTCTTCCTAGGGCCAGGGTTGAGGCAATAGACTGCTTGACTGTGACCCTGCAGCAGTGGCTCTCGCAGTGGGCTTCCTGGACCTGCAGCATCAGCATCTCCTGGGAACTTACTAGAAATGCAGATTCTCAGGCCCCAACCCTGACCTACTAAGTCAAAACCCCAGGGTGTGGCTCAATACGCCCTCCAGGTACTCCACTTTGAGAACCCTTGCCTCTTTAAGCCAGTGTCTTTGGATAGCAGCTGGAGCCATTTTGCCGACACCATTTTGCCGTATCTGTGTTATTCCTGCACTATTATTTACTAAAGGATTTTTCTTTAAGAGGAAATTTATTCAACTTAAATAAACATATTGAGAAAAAGAATTTAATCTTACTGCCCGAACTCTATCTCTTGTCACAGATAGAGCGCAATCACAAAAATAAATACAGTGAGACCAGTGGAGTAAGTTATCTTCAAGTGTCTACCAGCTCTGATATTCATTCAGTTTATTTTTAATTCCTCCTGAATTTTCTGAAATGATATAAGCATTTTTTATGAGGCAAGACCTCCTTTGCATCTTTGGGTCCCTTGTGACTCTTTGGGTATTCTTACTATGAAGAAAAAACAAATCTCTCTCTGTCTTTTTTGTTTGTTTTAGAGGCGGTGTCACTATGTTACCCAGGCTAGATTCAAACACTTTGGCTCAAGCGATCCTCCAGCCTCAGCTTCCCAAGTAGCTGGAATTATAGGTACATGCCACCATGCCTGCCTAATTTGTAAAATATTTTGTAGAGATGGGGTCTCACTATATTGCCCAGGCTGGTCTCCAACTAGTAGGCCCAAGCCATCCTCCTACCTCAGCCTCCTGAGCAGCTGGGAGTACAGGCATGCATCACCATGCCTGGCTCAAATATCTTTTTTTTTTTTTTTTTAAAGTGTATGTCTTTGTCCTTACACACAGTTATTCAGAGAGACATTCACATTTGGACCTGTAAGATCAAAGATATTTTATAGTGGGATTCAGCTTAGTTCAGTTGATTACATTTTTGGGAAGGGAATAGGTGTTTCTCATACGTGGGTGCCCACGGAAAGACATAGTCCTGCTGGAACCATAAATGTGCGTGAGCATTTAGCAGTGAGATCGTCTCCAAAGATAACAGTGGATGTAAGAACAGAAGGGAGATTTTAGGCTGCTTTTGGGGTGCCTGCCATTTTCTGTACACTGACAGAATTTCAGTACATTTGTTCATGAGATAGAAAGGCAATCAGCCTCATTTCTTTTGCTTTTTGTTATCTCTAAGCTGTGCTAAAACAAAAGAGGAAAATTAATTGTCTCTCCCCAAATTGTAAACACCTGTATATACCCTGTTTTCATTTAGCAGTCTATTTCTATTTAGAAGAAAGATTTTTTTTTTTCTGACTCAAGGAGCTGTAATCTCATTTTGTACTTGTTTTGGGGAAAATAAAACACACACATAAAACCCACAAGGAAAGCATTACCAAAATTTAATTATATTAGTAATCAAATCTGTGTGATGTGTGTGAATGGAATTTCAGAGTTTTTTGGATAATCAAGAAATTAGTTTGTGGGTCTCTAAGGTACCAGGGGTACTTGGATGGACTTTCCTAGTCTCATCTGTAATGGTCGATGTGGGACACTTGAGATCAATCTGGAGAAAGTACTGAGATTGCCATTACCATCTGATATCATCGACTTTCTGGCAGATATTGGCACCCAAGTAACATTTTATTGACTCCATTTGGATTTTCATTCTTGTGGTTTCGACCTTGCTTTTTATAATGCATACCAATCCGCCCTTCTGCACTCAGCTTACATCCAAGCCATGCCTTGTAGAAAGCTGTCTAGTGGTTTATAAAACCAGATTCCTCTCAACAATCAGGATTTTAAATGTATTTTTAGACCTGTAGACCAACTGGCAGAGACAGAGCGCTTGGCTTTGGGTATTTTTTTCTTCCCTAAAGAGCTCATTCTAATTTTGAAAAATTACCTTTAAAAAAAAGAAAAAAAAGTTTAACTTAACAGGACACTTATGTAGTGACAGGAAACTTGGAATCAGATCTTTCAGGAAATAGAAGCATCATTTTGTCAGTTGCTTTTTAAATTTATAGCACACATCTATTTGCAATGTTCACTTTCCTCAGAGACTCTACAGGTTAGATTTAATAGAATCAGGAATAAGTCTTCATTTCTTCTGTTTGAAGGCTTGTGAGGTGAGGGCTGGGGAGTGACATGGGGGGTGGATTTTGTTCCTTTTTGTATAGACAATGCTTAATTCCCCGTTTGGAAAGTCTTTTAGCATTGCATGTGCCTGCGGCATCCCAGGGAAGCAGAGGAGTAAAATGTGGTACTGTGTTTGCAAATCATAAAATGTTATGAAAGAAATATTCAACCCAGCAACCACCCGGCGCAAGGATAGTTCTCAGAAACATAATGTTGAGTACAAAAGGTGGAGAATGGAACAAGATTTAAAACACATTATCATTATTAAGTTAAAAATAGATACACAAAAACAACATTACTTAGGACAGTTGCATATTTAAGGACATATCAACAAAAAATTGAAATAGTTAACGTTGCGGGGATTGGAATGGGAGTGTCAATAAGGGAAGAAGGGAGATTATATGGAGACGAGAGATGAGCCTTGAGGAGAAAAGGCAGTGAACTGAGGGGAATGAATAACTCGCCTGCACTGGGGCTGCAACAGTTCTTGAAAGGAGACTCTTGTAATTTTTTAGTTAGAAGTGCTGAGTACCCCAGTCAGTACCAAGAGTCGTTCTCAATCTTGGCCACACATTTTAGTCATCTGAGAAGAACCTGAGAATCTTTTTTAAAAGGTACTGTTTTCCTGGATCCCAGCCACAGGGCTTCTGCCTTAATTGCACCGTGAAGGAACCTGGGCATTGGAGTATATTAAAAGCTCCCATGTGGTTCCGTTATAGATCCAGGGCTGAGAACCAGAGTTAAGTTTCTTAAAGAGGAAAAAAAAGTGTGTGGCAAGGGATAACTCTGCCAAGTAAAAATGAAACGGGTACAATATTCAGACTTCCCTTTTCTACCGTTTTAGGTTATCAGCTCAATTCTGCTGAATGTGTGGATATCCGCTTGAAGAGGATCGTTCCTGACCATTATTGCCACTACTACCCCGAAAATGTAAAGCCCAAACCAAAACTGAAGGAATGCAGCATGGATCCTTGCCCATCAAGGTTTGTGTCATTGCCCACACGCCTTTTACTTTAAAAAGAAACAAATCATCTTCAACTGAGACTGATCCATCTTTGCAGGGCAATACATTTCCATTTCCTGACTTTGAGTGTATACTGGCGGCAAGTGTCTGCATTCACGTTGGTAACCATGGTCCACAGGAATGAGGACACACTTGCTAATCTGGTTACTCAGTCTAGCTTTCTTGTGGTGAACTATGTGTCCTAAGTTGTTTTATAAGGAAACTCTTTGAACATCGCCTGCTCTCTTCATCCAATTACAGTGTCTAGTCCGACTGCCAATCATAAATATCTTTCACTCACCATTTTAGCTTTTAAACTGGGTCACCCATGATCACGTTTTGGCTTTTGAAGTGTTCACATTAAATTGAGTATAAATAATGCATTGTGCAAGAAAGTAAAGAGTTTTAATGCCAAAGCAAAACAAACAAACAAACAAACAAACAAAAAAACAAACACTATGTGTAAACTATCCTATTGCATAATTTAGTACCTGCTGACTTGGATTGCCTGGGGAAGTTTCCTGGCTTACTACAATACCTTAAAATAACAGCACAATGTCAAGTCCCAGAATCCCCCAGATATCTGCCAGCTGGCTTAGGAAGAAGTGTGCAAGTGGAAAAGGAAGCGTTCTCAATGGATTTCATTTCCTGTTACTAAACTGCCCATTTCCTGTAATCGTGGTTGAATATAATTATTAATAGAGACCTTTCAAAGGACAAATTCTGTGAAATAAAGTGGTTTTCTAAAGATCCTACTAATAAGACAGTGTGTTAATATCCACTAATATATTTACAGAGTAACGATTATAAAAAGGAATAAATTTATCTAAATTGCAAGATACTTATTTTCTTTGATTAATATACCACTAGTTTAGTTTTCCATATTTCCATATAGAACTGGCAAATTTGTGTTGTAGATATTCTTGAAAATTAAAGAAATGGTGGCTGAATTTTTGGGAATAGTTGATAACACTTGACATTTTTAGTATCCAATTTGAAAGAGCTCTATCTCTTTGGATGTCAAATGTTATATTAGTCAATTAATAAATGTGTTAATAGATTTATTATAGGAATGACATTCTCACAATGATTTCATTTGCAGTGATGGATTTAAAGAGATAATGCCCTATGATCACTTCCAACCTCTTCCTCGGTGAGTTACATCTTTCCTTTTCCCTTTTGCAATTTAAGTAGTTTGCAAGGAACTGTAGCATCTGTAGCAATAGCCTAAAATGTATGAGCGTTAGATGTTAGATACTTACAGAGCTAAGGGAAAACAGACTTCAACTCAATAATAGGAAAAATCTTTCTAAGAATTAGATGGAATTGGCTGCTGCAAAAGGTGATGTTTCCCATCTCTGCAGCTGTCAAGCGTATCGTGGACAACTTAGTACCATAGCAGGAGCTCAAGTGTTGCAATTAATCAGAAATTTGAATGTGTTTTATTCTGAGATGAGTAGTATGGTCCTTCCTGACTCTGAGTTTCTGTAATTCTCTAATAATATTGTCCATTAGTATTTTACAGTTTAGAGGCAGTTTGAAGATGCAGTTACACTGTATATTTTAATTGATTTAATTTTCACGATGGTCCTATGAATGGTAAATAGGGAAGGTATATGATTCCCATTTGACAAAATCCCCAGCTGTGAGGAGCGAAGTATCTTGTGACTAAAGATTGTGTATGGCAGTTAAGAGTAAAGTCTTGGCTGGGCATGGTGGCTCACACCTGTAATCCCAGCATTTTGGGAGGCTGAGGCAGGTAGATCACTTGAGGTCAGGAGTTCAAGACCACTCCTGGCCAACATGGTGAAACCCCGTTTCTACTAAAAAGTATAAAAATTAGCCAGGCATGGTGGCAGGCACTTGGAATCCCAGCTACTCTTGAGGCTAAAGCAGAAGAATCACTTGAACCTGGGAGGCAGAGGTTGCAGTGAGCCAAGATCACACCATTGCACTCCAGCCAGGGTGGCAGAAAGAGATTCCATTTTTTATTTTTTCAAAAAAAATTAAAGTCTCATGACTCCCAGTCCCACGCTCATGCAGCTAAACCACAACTGTTACCTTGAGGCCATACTTTTTGCCACTGTCCTTGCAAACTTGAAACAAATAAGCAAACAACAAATAAATAATATGATTTCATTTTTTTGCTTTTGAGCTGGGAACATAATCCTTGGACTTCATGTTCCGTTTCCTGTGGAGGAGGGATTCAGAGACGGAGCTTTGTGTGTGTAGAGGAATCCATGCATGGAGAGATATTGCAGGTGGAAGAATGGAAATGCATGTATGCACCCAAACCCAAGGTTATGCAAACTTGTAATCTGTTTGATTGCCCCAAGTGGATTGCCATGGAGTGGTCTCAGGTAAGATTTGAGAATTTGCCACTTTTAATTAATTCTCACATTTTAAGGGATATTTTCTATATGCCCACCATGGTACCAGACAGCACAGAGCCAAAAAACAAATTGTCAAAGAGCATGTCCTTACTCCAAAATGCTTAGGAAGACAGCTGGCAGACAAGGTAAAAAAGACAAGCATCATGGTAGGTAAGAATAATTAATATTAAGGACATTAATAATAACATTGCTATACAATTAGCACAATTAATATGAAGTACCTCTATAAAGAACAGATGTTGAAGCAGAGTCAATCAGGAAGTCTTGGTTGCCCCTGTGGTGCTTAACCCATCTTGGAAGAATTTAAACAAGCAAGAATTAAAATTTAAATTCTTTGAAGACTGTAAACAAGCAAGAACCTGAGAAACATCACTGGGTTGGGGTTAGTGTTAGGGAGATGGTCAAGCAGAGGTGGCTGAGCAAAGGCAGTAATGACAAAGTTGAAAGGGGCTCGGAGTCATCAAGATTGAAGAGATGACCCATGACACTAAGAATTGGAAGATTAAGTTGGAAATGCTGACATGACATAAGAAGTGTGTCCTTGATCTAGTAGCTACCAAGAAGCTTCACAATTTTTGTGAAGAAATAATGTGTTTTAAGTAATTGAGGCAAGACAGTCTAACATTATGGAAGACCAGAGGTGGGTAGCCTGTTTAGAAATCATCGTGAGTTCAAGTTATATGAAAAAAAAAAAGAGAGAGAAGAAGGAAAACACCCCAGAGATATAACAAGGTTTATGTCAAATTATCGTAGTTTTCACTTAATAAAGAGATGACTGAGTAAGCCTCCAGAACAAATAAAATGCAGGAAAAAATTTTTGTGGTCTATCCATCTGACAAAGGGCTAATATCCAGAATCGACAGAGAACTAAAAGAGATTTACAAGAAAAAAACAAACCCATTCAAAAGTGGGCGAAAGATATGAGCAGACACTTTACGAAAGAAGACATCTATGAGGCCAATAAACATATGAAAAAATGCTCATCATCACTGGTCATTAGAGAAATGCAAATCAAAACCACATTGAGATACCATCTCACGCCAGTTAGAATGGCGATCATTAAAACATCTGGAGACAACAGATACTGGAGAGGATGTGATGAAATGGGAACATTTTTACACTGTTGGTGGGAGTGTAAATTAGTTCAACCATTGTGGAAGACAGTGTGGCGATTCCTCAAGGACCTAGAAATAGAAATACCATTTGACACAGCAATCTCATTACTGGGTATATACCCAAAGAATTCTAAATTGTTCTTTCATAAAGACACATGCACACGTATGTTCATTGTGGCACTGTTTACAATAGCAAAGACCTGGAACCAACCCAAATGTCCATCACCGATAGACTGGATAAAGAAAATATGGCACATATACACCATGGAATACTATGCAGCCATAAAAAATGAAGAATTTGTGTCCTTCATAGGGACATGGGTGAATCTGGAAACCATCATTCTCAGCAAACTGACACAAGAACAGAAAACCAAACACCACATGGTATCACTCATAGGCAGGTGTTGAACAATTACAATACGTGGACACAGAGAGGGGAGCATCACACACTGTTAGTTGGTGGTGGGGCTGGGGGAGGGACAGCAAGGGTGGGGAGGGATAACATGGTGAGAAATACCAGATATAGGTGAGGCGGGGATGAAGACAGCCAACCACCTTGCCATGTATGTACCTATGCAACAATCCTGCATGATCTGCACATGTACCCCAGAACCTAAAGTACAATTTTTTAAAAAAGATGAAAAATGCAGACATTGGTATTTAATAATTTAATATTCTTTAATTTTCTAGAGAGTGAGATGTAGAGAGTGAGATGTAGTTGCCTCAAGTTTCTGCAGCTCTCTTAAGTGATCTCCACATACTTAGCTCATCATGTACATGTATTAATATATCTACTCATCTGTTTATTCAATGTGTCAGCTACTGTACTAAGAAGTAATACAACTTGCTCCTACCACCCAAAAGCTTAGAATCTAGTTGCACAGACATGCATGCAAACAAAGTTGTGATACAATATAGTGTTGTGCATGAGTAGTGTCATGTGCCCAGTACTTCAGAGGCACAAGGTAGAATGATTCACTCCACCTGAAGGTGTCAGGAAAGCTTCAGAAAGGAGTTAGCACTTGAACTTTAAGTGAGTGTCAGGTGAAGAGCGTATCAATCTTTTTCTGATATCCCCAGACTAAGCATAATCACCCTGGAGAACTTTACTCAAACTTGCTAGGGAAGAAGTTATCAATTAATTTTTGGTCACATATTCCCTAAAAAGATTAGAGAATCACATACCTGTTCACATATATGCAGGTTGACATCTAAAATTTCCTATCACAAGTTTAAATAATTAAAAAGAATATCATTTCAACATGTTGTGAATGTTAACATTTTAAAATAAAAGTGTTGCAGCATTTTTAAAAATCTGTCTAGTGGAATTTAAATGCCATGATAATTATGTCTTTGCCATCTTTCAATTAAAAAATACACAAGTGAGCTCTTCTTTAACAATTTGGATGTTGTGAATATTTTTCCCTTTGAACTCACATTTGCAATCTATTCTTTTCACAGAACTTTAATATAATGTATTTTTATGCTTTAAAGTTTTTTTTTTACTACACAATTCTTCTCTCTGAGAAAATATATATGATCACTGATATTAATTTATTTTACTTTTCTGTGGCCATAAGGCCACAAGTGTTTAAAATAGTCCTCTGAATTGAGTTAATTTTAGTATACCCTCAAAACAACGTATATATTTCAAAGTTGGGTAAATAAGAAAAACACATAAAAATTATATTTTCATTTAAATACACACTTAGTTCACCATGTACATGCATTAATATCTTGCAGAAGATAAGTGGAGCTTTAAAAATAGTTCATATATTAATCACCAGAATGAGACATGTGTTCAGCAATGATTTTATTGTTAATTTTTGCCATTGGTTTTTAGTTTTGTTTTCTTTGGCTTTGCCTGTATACACTGGGAAAGCTTGTTCATGTGAATAAATAGACCAGGATGGAAGAATTTTATTTTAACAAGGTTATTTATGTCTTTGAACTCTTGAGTTATGTGGCAAAATTCATGTGATGGTCTATCATCAAAATTATTTTTAAGGATCTGTCTGCTGGCAACTTAAGTCCTCTATTTGGTTGAAAGCAAAGAATATCATCTCAGCTGTGAAAGTATTTGTCATCAAGACATTGGGGACTTTCATTTTTTCAGCCTCCAATCACCATTATTTCTACAACTGCAGAGCCTGTTTTCAACCCTCATAAGCCATGTGTTCTGTGTTGGCTTCAGAGCTTTTATATCACCCTCCATCCCCATAAATATCATGACTTTATCATTTTGTCTATTACCAGAATAGAGGATGTTAACTAGCTCTTCTCATTTACCATACCTCATTCTTAATATTTTTCACTTTTTAAAAAATCAAATATATTCTCAGTGGTGAGGATTTTTCATCCTTGAGGACATATGCAGCTCCATAGATGAGTTCTGAAACGTTGTAGACACTGACAATGCCATTGGGGGAAGTGTCCAGCTTTCCAGAAGGGTGGTTTAAAAGCAGAGGATACTCCTTTGGATTAACCAGCTGTAGTATTATTACATCTTATATTGTTTTCTTTCTCTTTGGGTAGGTTTTTTTCTTTCTTTCATGGCTAATATAAAACAGCCCCTCAATGTCTTATATATCTTAAGTTGATAAATTTGGGGGTAGTTGAGTCAATTTTCCAGAAATAAGGTAATATCAAACTTCACTGAACTCATTAAAGTATTTGTTCAGTGGTTTCAAGAGTGGTATGATGAACTGGAGAGGTTTCCCAATATTCTGCCTGATGCGTGTGCGCTGAGAAAAGCCTCCATATCCTCAAAACATGTCTTTGAAACTTGGCCCCAGGGACACGCAGGTACAAAGTGCTTAGGGGGTCAGAAGAGAATTTACAAGCTTTTCATTTTTATTTTTATTTATTTTATTTTATTTTATTGCATTGCATTTTAGGTTTTGGGGTACATGTGAAGAACATGCAAGATTGTTGCATAGGTACACACATGGCAGTGTGATTTGCTGCCTTCCTCCCCATCACCTATATCTGGCATTTCCCCCCATGTTATCTCTCCCCAACTCCCCACCCCCCCGTCCCTCCCCTATTTCCCCCAACAGACCCCAGTGTGTAGTGCTCCCCTCCCTGTGTCCGTGTGTTCTCGTTGTTCAACACCCGCCTATGAGTGAGAACATGCGGTGTTTGATTTTCTGCTCTTGTGTCAGTTTGCTGAGAATGATGGTTTCCAGGTTCATCCATGTCCCTACAAAGGACACAGACTCATCATTTTTGATGGCTGCATAGTATTCCATGGTGTCTATGTGCCACATTTTCCCCGTCCAGTCTATCATCGATGGGCATTTGGGTTGGTTCCAGGTCTTTGCTATTGTAAGCAGTGCTGCTATGAACATTCGTGTGCATGTGTCCTTATAGTAGAATGATTTATAATCCTTAACAGTGGCTTGGCCATGGCTTTGGCAATAGATAGCTCTGGGAGGGAATTTCACTCTGCCTGTTAGGAACTGTGTGACCTTGAGCAAGGTCCTTAGATGGTGGGCTATTCGCTTATCTGTTCAATGAGCCTGAAGCTACTGATCTGCAAGGGGATCAGGAGGATTCATGAGATAACAAACAAAAAAGATTCCTGTTCCATAGCAAGTAACCAAAGGCAACCAAGAGCTGTCAGCCCCTCCCTGGGGTGGATCCAGAATTGGTGAGGTCTGAAGTTTGTACAGATTGGAGGGGATGCCTCAAAAACAAAAAGAATATAAAACATAATTATTAGATATTAAAGAGAATGTTTATTTAGATAAGAAAGGAAATTACAAGAAATTACAAATTTTAAAAAGCTGACAGCAACCACAATGTGAACTCTGGACTTAATAATGATAATATTTAATAATATATTAAGTGATAGTTATGTTAATGATATATTAATATTGATTCATCAGTTGTAACAAAGGCACCACACTAAGGCAGCATGTTAATAATAGGGAAAATCATAGGAGGAAAAAGGGGTGAAAAGAAATATGGGGGCTCTCTGTACTGTCTGCTCAATATTTCTGTAAACCCAAAATGGTTCTCAGAAAATATTGTCTATTAATTTTTTTAATGCATACACGTATATGCATATATATACTCCCCAACATGCAGATTGTATTAGTCCATTCTCACACTGCTGGAAAGATATTACCACAGACTGGTTAATTTATAAAGGAAAGAGATTTAATTGACTCACAGTTCCACATATCTGGGGAGGCCTCAGGAAACCTACAATGATGGCGAAAGGCGAAGGAGAAGCAAGTACCTTCTTCACAAGTTAGCAGAAGAGAGCATGAAGAGGAAAGAGCCCTTCATAAAACCATATGTCTTGTGAGAACTCACTCACTCTCTTGAGACCGTCATGGGGGAAACTGTCTCCATGACTAATCACCCTCCACCCAGTCCCTCCCCATGGGAATTACGGGGATTACAATTCAAGATGAGATTTGGGTGGGGACACAGAACCAAACCATGTCACAGATAAATGAAAAGATATTCTATATTTTTGTATGACATGAAAACATTCCACTCATAGACAAGAGTAACTTTTAAATCCTAAACAAATAATCCAAGAAAAACATGCTGACAACACAAACTTCACAGAAACTCAGAAAAAAATAGCATAATGTTTTTATTAATTTTAACTGCAGGTGGTTGTAGTTATAGATGAATCAGGATACATCTATGGTATTTTTTTCTCCACTGTTTGGTGGAATAGTCTTCGATGGCCTTCTTATATGACAGCAGTTTTGCAAGACTGACTTTTATAGACAGAATAGAAACATAATCCTCTGGCATCATTGGTCAGAATTTTATTATATTTTTATTGACAGTTCAGAAAGGTTTCATTCATCTTCAAAAATTGTTTTAGGCAGGATCACCTAAACTTTTAATCAAGCTTGAGAGAACTTGTAACAAATTTCTCTGATATTGGAACAGTAAGATTTCAGGGCATTTTTAATTTTCTTGAACTATGATCTCACCTTAAATACCCTTTGAATTGAGAAGTGGAACAAGGTTGTACAAAAGAGGGGCCCTGAAATACAAGCATCACAGAATATTAGCCTCTGCACCCTTCCTTACATAATATTTGTCTAAAAGTCTTTTATGTTTAATATTTATGTAGTTCAATGACTCTCCTTTGCATATGATAAAATAATGCCTTTGTGGTTCTCTTAAAAGAAATGCATTGGCTTCTTTTTTCTTCTTTGAAGTGCACAGTGACTTGTGGCCGAGGGTTACGGTATCGGGTTGTTCTGTGTATTAACCACCATGGACAGCACGTTGGGGGCTGCAATCCACAACTGAAGTTACACATCAAAGAAGAATGTGTCATTCCCATCCCATGTTATAAACCAAAAGGTAAGTCTGTGGTACGTTGTAAATTCAAATCAAATATTTTCCAACTCTCATTCCAATATTGTAGCACTTCCCTTTCAACTTACCACTTTCTTATAAAAATAGTTTTATTGACAAATTGCAATAGACCTTCCCATCTAGATTAAAAAGTTGGATATATGTGAATTACTCATCCGGAGGGAAAACAGCTCCTGTTGATTCAGCACAGATAGAGTAGCTCCTGTCTATCTAGGTTTATACTAACAGTTCTTGGTGGACATAAGAAAATTAAATGTAGTCCTTCCCTTGAAGAAAAAGAAGAATGGAGGAAGGAAGATTAAAAAAAAAAAAAAGAGGGGAAGGAAGGAAAAGTAGAAGGAGGAAGAGAAAGAAGAGCAGGAAAAAGGAAGAAGTAGAGGAGGAGAAGGAAATTACTGACTTTTCCCAAGATTCTCATTCTTCTTTGTACCCACCTCTCCACTAGAGGGTAAGATTTTTGAGGGAGGAATGATGTCATCTTTATCATGTGTACTAATGCCTGGAATGAATGAAAACTTCCAGTTCCCAGTGGAGATCTATGGATGCATTTATAATCTCTCCAGTAGTTCATGTTTGTTCTACACGAAAGAGCAGATATGGGTAGCATCCATGGATAGGATTGTTTGGCATCACTCTCTGGTTTATGGTCTTCTCTGTACTTAGTTTTTTCCATCTTATTTAGTGTTAACTATTCTCATGAAAAGTATCTTACATCTTGAAATGGAAAAAAAGATTATTCCCAACTATTAGTAAGAAGGGCTCTTCCTTAGTACTTGAGAGAGAATGGTAAAATTCTCCTTCGTTACTTCTGGGTTCATTATTCATACAAATAGCCTCATAATTAGCCATTCAGTAAATATTCTTTCAGTAGGCCTATCTTGCAGAAAAATCACTAGTTGCCACGACAGGCACAAACACTGACTATATAGCTCCATCAGTGACGTCTTTTCTCCTTCCTTATGCGCTAATGATACTTTCATTGCCACTTACATAGTGTCTGTAGTTTCCTTGAAGCATCCCAAAGTTATTTTTATTTCTCACTTCATAGATAGGTTATTTCTTTCTTCAAGGAGGCTTCAAAGGACAGAAAGGGGCAACGGTTTGTTCCTCCATGCCAAATGTCATGGGTAATCTCCCTCAACAACTACAACAGTAAAAATTTGAGTAAACTACAACACAGACTCTCTCATCCTGCCCCAGCTTTCTTAACTTCCATGTTATTTGCTTTTCTCTGTTAATTTTTGCATCCCATGTGCAAAAACAAAGTGTGACCAAAGAGAACAGGCCGATATGGCTGAAGTAAGAGCTTCAATGTGTGAACAACAGAAATTGGGACTGATTTGTAAAAGGCATTTTTATGTTAACTTTGACAGCGTATTCAGCTGTATCATGTGATCATTTTGGTTGCATTTTAATAATGTATTAATTTTTTTAAAATACAGCAGAAATGTTTAATTCATTCCAGAAGCCACCTAATGTACTGTGCTAAGGAACTCAACGTGCATTTGAAAAACATGACCTCTTTATAAATGAGATCTTCAGCCAATAGAATCATATGTCCAACTCCTCAATGATTAATAGTAATTAAGCTCATTGTTTATGTTCTCTTTTTCTTAGAAAAAAGTCCAGTGGAAGCAAAATTGCCTTGGCTGAAACAAGCGCAAGAACTAGAAGAGACCAGAAGAGCAACAGAAGAACCAACGTGAGTCCAGGACCTTTTATGGGAATAATCATGGCATAGCCAGTTAACATGATATATGTAATTTTTGTACTTATTGGAGTACAACGATACATTTAATATCCAAATGACCTGGATTTACAGACTCTGGAGAGCTTGAGCTGGCTAGAATTTGTCTTTATTTCACAATTCAGCAGTCCTCCTTTGGCAGTATCTCTGAGCAGCACAGAAAAGAACAGTGTTATTTAACTCAAAGCAGATCCAGTGGTCTGTTACACTTAAGATATTGGGGATAATTTCTAGGTTTTAACACCTGTGATTTGACTGAGAACCATCATCACATCATACAAATAAACCAGTCATTCCATGGGTAAGTCATAGTCAATCTCTGTAAAGTCACTTAAGTTGGCATGCATTAGTGGCCTGAGTGATCATAGGGAAATGGAAATAGCAAGGTATGAAGAGTATTGGAGCTTAGAACCACCCCTGCTAACTACATGACCCTAGACAAGTCTAACTTTTCTATGTCTTATTCTCCTTACCTATAAAATTAGCAGGTTGGGCTTGATCTCTCCAGGGTTCATTCCAAACTCAAAAATCCAGTGACTACCATCATATGTGATTTGATGAGTCTGGACTGTAATGGTGCCAGTGGAAATTAAGAAGCAAGAGCAAATCAAAGAGGCATTCTGGAGGCAGTTATATAGGGACAAAGAGAGAGCAAGAAATCAAAGGTGCCCTGAGATTTCTAGTCCAGGAATCTGTAAGACCAACAGCACCAATGACAGCCTCAAGTAATTGGACAGAACAGCTGATTCCATGTCAAACACGTGAAGTCTTTGGTGCTGACAGGCTGTCTATGAAGACAGCAATTCCCCAAGCATCAGAGGAAAAAGGGGTCTCAGCAGTAATCTGGCCACTTTCCCTCTTGGAGCAGGCATTTCTTCAACACGTCCAGCAATGGGCAGAGTTCATTGCATTAAGAGACACCTCATTCTTGTGTTAAAAAACCCAAGGTATTTGCAAGATGTTTTTCTTCTGTTGAGACACAATAGACTTCCTAATTCGTGTTCTCTGAAGCAGAAAAAAAAAAAATGCATCTATGCCCCATCCCATGTGACAAGTTTTCACAAATATGAAGAAAGCTGCCATGGATCCCGGGAGCTTTGTCTTTCTCAAGCTCATCATTCTTAGCCTTTTCAGCAGTTTTCATCCACTGTTATTTTGAGATCCCTTCCCAACCTCCTGTGCTTTTCAGAATCCGCTCTCATTTGTCAATCTCCCTTTTAACTGTGGTCCAGCCCGGTGATGAGCCGCAGGGCAGTGTGGGTTCTCTGAGAAGGCACACGTGGCAGAGTGATGTGGGCCAGCATAGCTGGCACATCACGCTCATAACAGGCACAGACGTCTCCACGTGGACCACTGTCAGTGCTGGCTGGAACCACAGAAGAAACTGTGGACCGTGTGAGGGCGAATGGCTTCACAGTATTTGAGTAAAAAGAAGAGAGTGTTGGGCTCCTGACTGAAGCTTGGGGATCTGAGGAAGGGGGAATCAGAGGAGGAAGGTGGTGACGGAGTCAAGTAGTGAAGAGAGGGAGGAGTAAGACCCAGGAAAGCTTATTTTTCCAGAGACCAAAGGAGGAAGGAGTTTAAGGAGGCAAGCCACAAATAGGATTCAAATCTCACAGACAGACAGGGAAAATCCATGAGGAATGAGAAACGGCTGTTTTATTCACAAGAAAGGCTTTGTCGGTCAATTTTAGAGTAATATTATCCAAAGGGTAGAGAATAAAGCATTGTGGAGATTTCAGAAATAAATTTCCAAAAAAGAAGGAAATGGAGCAATGGGTATTTGAGTTCTAAAGGAAGGAGTAAAGATGGGTAGTGAAGCTTATGGAAAAGTGCATGTGTATGTGTTTGGTTTTTTTGTTTTTTTTTTTCATTTTGAAGTTAGGACAATCTTAAACAGATTAAAAAGACAGGGTTTTGGACCAGTAGGTTAATGTCTGTAGACCTTCCAGCTATACAAGGAAGGCATTAGGATAAATGCTGCTGGAATCTTCTCCCATCGCTGATCGCCTGCTGCAATCCCGTAATGGAAGGAGTCTATAGAAAGAAAAGGGTTTGAGACACTTGAGAGAGTGTGTGTAGTTGTCACAAAAGGAAGGTCGCGGAGTCTTTTGTCTAGAATGGTGGGGCCTGCCAAGATCTTTTGTTTTCAAAACACAGTTAGATGACAGTTGATAATCCTTCTGTATGTCCTCTCTTGGTTAATAGGATTATTGGCTCCTTCCCATTCTTCTCTGAAGTGTAATTAGCCACTGACTGGTGCCAGCTACATTTACTAAAATCTTTCTTGGTTCCGTCTCCTCCTCTCCATCCAAGCTACTGTCCTTGTACAGGTCCTGAAATCAATTCCCAGGACACCTGCAACAGCTTTCTAATTTTCTCCTCAATTGCTTCCCTCTCGAGGTAGGGCACAAGTCTGATTCTTTCTCTGCAATGTTCAGAGTATCCAAATGTCTCCCCATCACCCAGATTATGTGGGTTCACATGGCCAACAGGACTTGGCAGGGTATTACTTTTCCGGGTCCCCAGCCTCGTGTCTGGCCACCTCCCTGTTTTGCCTTGAGTGGGATGCTTCCGTCATACTGACTTGTGGGCTGTTTCTAGCCCACCGCAAGCTGCCTCTTGGCTCCTTTCCTTTCATCACACTCCCCTCTTAGTTGGGAATGACCCCACCTGTTAAGTCTTGTTTTGTAACTTTCTTTTTAATCGTAGAAAATTTCAAACCTATTTAAAAAAAGGATAAAACAGTGTAATGAACCACTACGTCGTGTTCACAACCCAGTATCAACAATGATCAACCCAGGGCCACTCTTGTTTCATCGAAACCATCACCACAGCCACTACACCCTGATCATTTTTGAAGCAAACACAGACAGCACATCATTTCATTCATAACTGTTTCAGTATGTATCTCTAAAAGAAGTCGTTCGAAAAAATAACCAAAGTACCATTTTTGAAATGCTGTCTTCAATACTTCTATCAGAATCACCTGTGGTGCTTTTAAAAACGTGGCGATTTCCGGGCGCCACTGAGCCAGATACTGTAGGGCTGGGGCTCCATCACCAACATTTTCTTTTTCTTTCGGCTCTGCCAGATTTTTTTTTTTTTTTTTTCTGGTAAGAGATACACACCCAACACTTACCATTTTACATTTCTGGTAAGAGATACACCCAAAAAACTTTTTTTTTTTCCTTGAGACAGAGCTTCACTTTGTCACCCAGGCTGGAGTGCAGTGGTGCGATCTCAGCTCACTGCAACATCCACCTCCCGGCTTCAGGCGATTCTCCTGCCTCTGGCTCCCGAGTCGCTGGGATTACAGACACACGCCACCACGCCCAGCTAATTTTTGTATTTTTAGTACAGGTGGGGTTTCACCGTCTTGGCCAGAATGGTCTCGATCTCTTGACTTCGTAATCCGCCTGCCTTGGCCTCCCAACATTGTAACCATTTTACAGCATGCAGCTCAGCGGCTTTAAGCACATTCACACCATGGTGCATCCATCACCATCTCCCATCTCTAGAAGTTTTTCATCACCCCAATATAAGCTCTGTTAACTCCCTACTCCCTCCCCCTAGACTCTGGTAACCTCTATTGTACTTTCTCTCTTTCATTAACCAGCATTTTCAACAAACACCCCAGATAACTATGGCAGGGGAGTGGGCGTATCCAAGTTTGGGAACCACTGGGTCAGATAGTCCCTTTAAAGGTCAGAAAATACTGTTTACTTTATTGAATTAGAAAAGGGGGATGTCAATCAGACGAGGTTGCTTACCCCTGTAATCCCAGCACTTTGGGAGGCCGAGGTGGGTGGATCACTTGAGCTCAGGAGTTCAAAACCAGCCTGGCCAAGATGGTAAAACCCTGTCTCTACTAAAAATACAAAAATTAGTTGGCTGTGGTGGCACATGCCTGTAGTCCCAGATACTCAGGAGGCTAAGGCAGGAGAATTGCTTGAGCTCAGGAGGTGGAGAGGTTGCTGTGAGCTGAGATCCTGCCACTTCACTCCATCCTGGATGACAGAGCGAGACCCCACCTCAAAAAAAAAAAAAAAAAAAAAAAAAAAAAAGAAAAAGAAAAAGAAAAGGAAAGGAAAGGAAAAGGGGGATTAATCGAAGCTACAGTGAGGTTCAGGCCCCATATTCATTCCAAACCTGCCTTTTCTGTCAGCCCCACCTGACTTTGCTGGGGCTGGGGGGCCGGAGTGGGGGAGTTCCTCCTCTTATTCACAGAGCAAAACCAAAAGGCTCTTTACTCCTGAAGACGCCACCGTTTCCTCCCCCATGTGGCAGGCTGAGCCGACAGCACCTGCTCCCTGGCCCAAGCAGCCGCCTCTTCCCACCTTCCGCCATCTCTCCCTCTGTGGTCCCTCTGCAGTTTTCCTGCGTAATTCACACTGCCTGGCAGTTTCTGGCCTGGTCCTGGCCATCTACTGTGAAGTTTATAGTTTCCTGCCACCACTTCTGACTCTTCATTCCCTTGATTTCCAAACAAAACCACAACATATCTCAGCTTCCAGTGCATCCTTTTATTCCCACTGTCTTTTGTGGTTTGGGGATGCTTGCTTGTTGACAGCAAAGGAGAAGATGAACGCAGCTGTATTTTACATCCTTCCCGGAGAACCTGCCAAGCCAGCCTGGAGGAGATAAATATTTCTGCCTCTGTGGTTTACCATGGCTCGAGCTCTGAATTTACATAGGGAGTGGATGTTCAGAGGGCTTTTTTGCTTTTTTTTTTTTAATTAGGAAAATAAAAATTATAGTGTATAAAGCTAAGCCAAGGGAACTGCAGTGCTGACCTTCTTAGCTTTCAGCTGTGGAATGTGTTGACAGTTGATACGGTGCCTTGATTCATCGTTGTTTTAAAAGTTCTTCCCTGGAGCCTCTTCGTTTGTTTCTATGGGATTTTTAACACTTCAGCAAACCTGTTGCCCTCGCTGTCATTTTTCATATACAAA